CCAACAATTTGAAAATAAAGAAATTTTGGTATATAACTGTGATGGAATACATTGGGCTATAACAAAATAGAAAAGGAGAGCATTAATGAATTAAGTGTATATTTAAGAAAATTAGAAACCCAACAAATGAACAAACACAAAAATCACAAAAGGGGAGATAATGAAAATTGGAGGAGAAATAAATAAATTAGAAACCAATCAGATTATAGAAAAGATAGATAAAACTAAAAGCTGTTCCTCTGAGACCAACAAAGTGGATAAACCTTAGACCAGCCTGATCAAAAAGGTAGCAAATAATTAAACCAACAAAATAGCAACTAAACAATCACAACAAAATCCAGATGAAATACAAAGAATCATCAGAACCTACTATGCACAGTTAGTTATATGCTAGCCAAACCGAGAATGCTAAAGAAATAGAGGAGTACCTTTAAAACTATAAAACACTCCAAGCAACAGAAGACCAAATAGAGATCTTAAGTCGAAAGGAAACAGTAGTAACTATGAAGGAAGTCCCAAAGACACAAATGTTCTGGTCCTGATGAAATTACAGAAGTCTATCGAACTTTTAAAGAACAATTACTACCAATACAAAAATTATTTTCAACTATTAAGCAAGAAGGTACTTTATCTGGCTCCTTTTATGAGACATAATCTTAATACTGAGAAGGATAAAGCAAAGGAGAATTTTAGGCCAATAACTAATGAATATTGATTAAAAATATTTTGATTTTTTGGGAGGTAGATCACACGCTTCATCAAAGGATCGCTGGAGACATGGCTGGTCATTTCATTGATCACAGCTTTTAATTCACAAGTCTTTCAAAGTTGCTTTTCTTCAAAATGTTAGCCTTGTACGCACTGTCCTCTTGGTCGTGCTCACTTCACTCTGCATCTGTTCATGTCATCTAGGATTCTCCCAATTGTCTCTTTGGTCATTTCTAACACTACAATAACATCCCATTATATTCATATATCACACTTTGTTCAGGCATTGCCTGTCTTAAGAGTCAAATCTAAGCCCCTACCCCCTTTCCCCAGATTCTGGTTCTTTTTTTTCCCTTTCTCTTCTTCTACATTAGAAAGTTAGTTTTGTCTGTGCTTATTCCCTCCCAGATATTGGGAGAGAGGAGGTTTTCTAAACACCAAACCCCTGCCGCCATGTTCCTATCACCATTTGTTTCTCACTTTATTTCTACACCAAACTATTTGTTTGGGGTGCGCAGAGGTGTGTTGGGGAGGGTGGATTCAACCCTCCTTTGTCCATTTCATATGGATGAAGTTATCTGATGCCTGCTTCCCCACCCTTTCTGCTATGCTTGTATATTTTTCTTTTTAAGGCGTTACAATTTTGAGAAATGAGTTTCACTCACTTCTTCCTCCTGTCTCCCCAATGCATTGTTTACTGTCCCTTTTCTTTGCCTTCTTCAGACTCTCAAAACACAATTAATCACTCCCAGGACAGTTTTCTTTTTTTTTTTTTTTAACTTAACTCCCTAAGTACCTTTTGAAGATATTAATGTTCTGAAGATCTGTATTTCTTCTCTTCCTATTAGGATATTAACATGATGTCACTATATAGCTCCTTCCAATTACTCAAATAACTTTACCTTTCTAGATTTCTCTGGAATCTCATCTTTTTATCTGAAAGATACTACTCAACTCACATCTTTTCATCATAAATGTTTAAAAGTACTTTATTAAGAAGATCTGTTTTCCCCTTTGTAGGATTATACTCAGCTTCACCTTTGCAGGATAAATTATTCTTGGTGGTAAACCTGTATCCTTTTGCTTTCTGAAATACTGTATTCCAAGATCTCTTTTTCCAGGCAGAAGTTATTAGATCTTGTGTGCTCCTTACTATCGTTTAATGTTTTCTTAATTGCTTCTTTCTGGATACTTGTAGTATTTTTTCTTTGTCATGGGAATCCTGGATTTTTGGGTAGGATTTTCCTGGAACTCTACCTTTTGGTGTTCCTTTTAGGAGGTGAATGGTGCATTATTTCTCTTTTGGTTTTGCCCTCTGGTTCTTACAGTTCTTGATGGTTTCGTTTATTTTTATTTTATTAGAAATAATTTTCGCGGCTTTTTAAAAAAATCTTGGTTTTTAGGGAGTCCAATGGTTCCTAAAAGATCTCTCCTTGACAGGTCAAGTTTTTTTTTTTTAATCTCAGATGCTTTTTCTTCTATTTTGAAACTTTTTCCATTTGTTGTCTCATGGAGTCACTAATTTATTTGCACTATTCTAGTATTTAGGGAGTCTGTTACTTCAATGAGGTTCACTACTTTCTCTTCTATTTATTCTATTCTGCTTCTAATTCCTCCAGGGCTTTTATTACATGTTTATCTCTTGCTTCATTTCTTCTAGGTATTCATGTAGCCCTTGTGCAAAATCCTTATCTTCATTTGACTCTGCTATAAGCGTGGGGATTAGAAGAGTAAAGTGTTCTGAGACTTGAGAGGAAAATGTTGGGAAAGTCACCATGCCCCTCTTCCATCAAGATGCTAGCTCTTCAATTACCACCATAGGCAGTGGGAGCAGTATGCCAGCAGCAGCTACCATGCCCCACCCAACCTCAATTTTCCTTTCCCTTCACCAGCAGTACTAAAATGCATGCAGGATAGGCAGGCACCCTCAGATCAGCTATATGTGTGTATGTATGTGTGTAGATATATATATATATATATATCTACACACACACACACATATATATGTATGTATATGTATACACACATATATATGTATATATACACACATAAATGTATATGTGTATGTGTATGTATATGTATGTATGTATGTATGTATTACCTTACACAAAGCAACAAAAAGGAAGTGGAACACAGGAAAACAAGAGGAAATACTTGGAGGAAGGAGACCCATAGGAATTTGTGGAGAAAGTGATGGACCAATGAGTGGTGAATGAGATAGCTAAATATTTCTTAAAATGGAAAGGATTTACAGATGCTGGCAATATGAGGGAACCTAAAGAAAAGATCCCATTGAAGCGTTTCTTAATTCTCAAAAAGTAAGTAAAGAAAAAGGTGACTTCCAAAAATATCCAAGTGTGTTCCTAAGTAAAAAAATAAATAAATAAAAATAAAGGAGTCTAATGACAAAGCAAGAACTTTCCTTGAGGTTGTGACCCACAGAGAACAAATGGTACCACAGAAATCAGAGAACTAATGTTTCTCATAAGGCAGGAAGATTCTGAGGAAGTAGACTTGGTCCTGGCTAAAGAAACAAACAGGATATGTCTTTAGTCATTGCTTTGCATCATGTAGAGTTGCCCAGGTATTCCCGTCCAGATGAAGCACAGTAAATGCTTTCATTGCTCACTCATCTTATCTATCCATCTATTTGTCTATAATCTCTCTAGCTAGCTATCCACATAGCTGCGCGTAAATATGGGCTGATTTTGATAAGTTTTTTTTTTAGCAGGTTTTCATTTTGTTTTGTATTATCAGTACTGGCATTTACACTGAACAAGTTAATAAAAACTCTTTGCATTTACTCATTTGTCACAGAAGACAGTATCTGGTGCTACGGAATTAACTTTGTCCCCTTAGAGCTAAGTTCTTTATAACTATTAATACCTCTCATGGTCATTACTGTGGCACCCAAGTGTGTGCTTACAGCTGCCTGCCACTGAATTCTGGGTCTATGCAGAATTGTGGCACTTATTTGAAATCAATTTCTAAAACTCCATTTTGTAACCGGAAGAAAATCCATCTACAAGTTGCTACAGGCAGTCATTTTTCAGTTCTAAGGAACGTAGGAACAAGTTTCCCCCAAGCCTCAGAAAACACGCTATTCTGAAATTTCTAAAAAATAATTGCTTTTGGGCAAAACAAGATAATTTTTAAGCATTTTGACCCCATCCCGGAGTATCCACGAATGCATAAACGTTCAGGGCCTATACTGTCTCTATTGAGGCAGTAATGGACATCTTTCCTAGGGGCCCAAAGGGTGGCCTCAAATTGACACAAGATTTGTGAAGCCAGCTCGAAATTTCTCAAAAAAGGTTTTTTTCTTCCCAGAGACACTGACTGTAATCCTGATGGAGATGTGTGTGTGCGTGTGTGTGTGTTGTGGTGTGTGTGTGATGTGTGTGTGTGTGTGTGTGTGTAGTTGGAGAGAGGGGCTGGACCTTTGTATCTATGGTTTTCACAAAGCAGATGTGCTTACTCACAAAATCCCTGAGTTCTACTTCTCAGGTTATTGATATTGTCCTTCTATGAAAGTTTTCAATCTTAGGTTAAAAATATAAGTAGAGGATGCCAGATTTTGAAAATATTTTGATATTTACCTAAAATTCACCATTTCAGTCCTGATTTTCAAATAGGAAAACTTGGACTTCATGTTTTGGAAAGTGGGGATGTTACATATTTTACTGATAGCTAGGTGGCAAAGTGGATAGAGCACAGGGTCTGGAGTCAGGAACACTAAGAACAAATCTGGCCTCAGATACTTACTAGCTGTGTGACCCCGGGCTAGTCACTTAACCCTTTTTGCCTCAGTTTCCTCATCTGTAAAATGAAGGAAATAGCAAACCAGTCCTGTATCTTTGCTAAGAAATTCCCAAATAGAATCGTGAAAAGTCAGATACAACTGAAAATAACTGAACAACACATCTTTTACTACCCAAGTCTATTCTTAATCATGTGGTAACATCCCTATCTGCTGAAACTGTAATATTCTGCTTGTAAAGGTGAGCATTTGATGGAGAAAAGGTATATTTTAATAACTAGTGGCACAATGGATAAGTAAACACATCAGTCTATCTAGTCTTCTATACCACCGGTGTGGACTTTCTTCTTCCTTTACACCAAACTCATCCCTTAAACGTGGATCGTCAAACATTTTAGCATTTGGGTCACTTTGTGCATGAAGAATAGAAACAATAATTTTCAGTCACTCTAATGTTATATAATTGCATATTATTTAGTTTATTGCAAATACTGGTGAACAGTGGTCAATAAATAGTTTTATAGTCTTCCTTTAAAAAAAAAAGAAAAACTCATTGTGGGAAACTTGGAGTTTTCTTTTTCTATTATGTCCTTTTTTTAGTTTGATTCTAAATCTTTCAGCAAAGTGAATGATCACACATGCATTACTTCAAAAGACTTGGCATTCATCAAGTTTCTTTCCAGTGTGATTCCTTTGGTGCTGAGTAAGTTCTTTACTCTTGAGGAAAGCCTTCCCTCAAACATTACATTCTTTAGGTCCAGTGAGAATTCTCAGATGTCAAATAAGTCCTATCATCTGGCAGAAGGCATTCCCACATTCACTATGTTTATAATGTTTCTCTCCAGTATCTGATTCAAGTAAGTGCTGAATTCTGGGGGCTTTCCTATATTCATTTGATTCCAAAAGGTTTTTCTCGAGTATGAATTTTCTGATGTCCAGTAAGTCCTGACCGTCGATAGAAGGCTTTTCCACATTCATTACATTCATAGGGCTTCTCACCAGTATGAATTCTCCGATGTCGAGTAAGCTGTGTGCTCCGGCGGAAGGCCTTCCCACACTCCTTACATTCATATGGTCTGTCATCAATGTGAATTCTGTAATGGGAAATAAGGTATGAGTTGCAGTTGAAGGATTTCCCACACTTGGTACATTCATAAGGTCTCTCTCCAGTGTGAATCCTCTGGTGTTGAGTAAGTGCTGTGCTCTGGTGGAAGGCCTTCCCACATACCTTACATACGTGAGGTTTCTCTCCAGTATGAATCCTCCGATGTCGAGTAAGAGTTGGGCTCTGGTGGAAGGCCTTTCCACATTCACTACACACGTAAGTTTTCTCTCCAGTATGAATTTTCTGATGTTGATTAAGTCCTGTCCTTTGATGGAAGGCCTTCCCACATTCTGTACATTCATAAGGTTTCTCTCCAGTATGAACTCTCTGATGCAGAGTGAGTGCTGTGCTCTGGTGAAAGGCTTTCCCACATTCCTTACATATGTAAGGTTTCTCTCTGGTATGAGTTTTCTTATGCTGATTAAGTCCTGCCCTCTGATGGAAGGCCTTCCCACATTCCATACATTTATAAGGTTTCTCTCCAGTATGAATCTTCCAATGTTGAGTAAGAGCTGGGCGATGGCGGAAGGCTTTCCCACATTCCTTACATACATAAGGCTTCTCTCCAGTATGAATTTTCTGATGCTCAGGAAGTTGGGGGCTGTGGTAGAAGGACTTTACACATTCATTACATTCATAAGATTTCTCCTCAGTGTTCTGCTGCCTTCTCAGCCAGGCATCACACTCCAAGGCTTCTCCCAATTTGAAGACACAAGCACTATCCCCTGAAAATTTTTCCTGGGATGATACTTCCAAAGAAATGTCCAGCTCTGGAGTGGTCAGCTTGGTTTCAAGTCTAGTCTCAAAATCTGAAAGAAATTTTTAAAAGTGTAAATATTTCTGGTTCTGCTGTTATATCTATGATACTATCTTCTGCCTCCATCAAGAAAAATGACTGCCAAATACTAAAATGTAGAATAGTTAATATGACCCTATGTTTGCAGTGATTACAAAAAGCTTTCATGCTGGTCCTCAAAAAAACCTTGTCAGCTCCTCATTTTCCAAATGAAGAAAGTGTCACTCATCAAGTCAAACCAACAAGCATTTCTTAAGTATCTCCAATGCGTCAGGCACTGCGCAAAGAGCTGGGGACATAAGGTAATCACTGAGAGAAGGCACCAGCACTAAGGTGGAAATTAAGGAAAGGCTCACTGTAGAAGGCAAGATTTCAGCTGGGACCTGAACAAGCCAGGAGACAAAAGACAAGAAGGGTGAGAATTCCAGACGTGAAAGAAAACCAGTGAAAGGGCCCAGAGTCAGAAGAAGGGGTATTGTAGGGAAAACAGCCAGGGGGCCAGTGGCACTGGATCACAGAGAACTTAGAGGCGAATAAGGTGTAAGAAGACTAGAAAGGTAGGCAGCGGCAAGAGCTTGAAAAGACAAATGGAGGAGTTTATATTGGATCCCAGAGTTACAGGGAGCCACTAGACTTTGATGAAAAGGGGATGACATGATCAGCTGTGCTTTAGGAAGATCAGTTTGACACCTGAGTGGAGGATGGCCTGGAGTGGGGAGACATGTGAGGCAGGGAGACCACCAGAGGGTTACTGAAACAGAAATTCATTTCTTTGAAAAAACACAAATCATCACTTAGTACCTGAAAAGTTGTTGCTATTCTCTAATAATCAGAGAAATGTTCGAATCTTTCAATTTCTTTGGTTTCCTCAACTGTTAAATGGGAATGATAATAATAGTACCTACTTTGCAGGGTGTTGTGAGGACAAATAACGTCTGTAAAGCGCTTAGCACATGGCTGTTAGTGCTTGGCCTAGAGGAGGCACTATATAAATGTTTATTCCCTTCTTTCCCATTAAAAAACAACTCTGAGTCCTCTACCACCCATCAAATTGCCAAATGGGTTTTTCTCCCCAAAGACAGAAAACCAACTATTGGTGGAGCTTTGGACAAATATGTATGCTATTCTACGGCTGGGGGAGCAGTAAACAAGCTCCAGTCTTTGTAAAGTAACAGCAACATTTAGTCATCCATGCAAGAGAGGGTGTGCCCTTTCTCAAAGTGACCACACGAGCAAGCCTAAATCATAAGTGCAGCCTATGTCCCCACTCTTCTAGACATATCTCTGGTACATTTAAGGTTTAAACTGCTCCCAGTTCTAGACAGAACTGAGTGCTGAAAACTCTCCAGAGAGTGTATTGATACAGCTTAGTTCGAACTGACCTTCTTCATCCTAATTCGTTTTCACCTACTTGTCCAAGCTCTCTCACCCCATTGGCCCACCAGCGATGGTGGTGGTGGTGGTGGATGGTGACAGCTGCCACAGTAGACCCTCTGTCTGAAAACCCCCAGCTGATCTGTGCCTTTAACTGCAAAGCATATCCCACTGTAACTCATCGAGGGCTGCTCCACGGAGCTGGGACAGTGGGGGCAAGGGAGGTCACAGGCCACTTGGTCCCCAGCTGCCTCTGCCCATGCTCTCCAGGGCTGCTGTTTGCCTCTGAGTATTCATGAACCACTACAACCCCTCCTGGCATCCCTGAGTGCTAAACTCAAACTCTGCCCCACATTTGCAATGATGCCATGGATACTATGGAAAAGAAAACACTTCCATAATGATAGTCATGGTGGCTCTTTTTATAACAGCAATGAGCTGGAAAAAACCCATGTGTCCAATGGAGTGCTTAGGGTTCAACACATAATGACACAGGACACATTTGCTGGGTGCTTCCAATTTTCATTTAAGAATAAAGAAAATAAGGAAGGCTTAGAATCATTTGATCCAAGAATCAAGGGAAGGGACCTGTGAAGGGATAGAGAAAAGACAGCAGAATCAGAAAATTCCCTTGGACTACAGCTCCATAAAACCCAATTCCATCAGTAACATAACCTTAAAAAATGCACAGAAAAAAAGATCAGATAGGAATATGGAAGCCAACAGGCAGTTTGGGTTGTCATTTTGGTAAAGTCAGTAGACACATTAAAAAGACAATGCTCCACTGTGGAGGGGAGACGAGTTTACTTTCCCTATTCAACACGTAGGAGTCAGTATTGAGGACAAGACAGACGCCTGACTGGACACGTTAAGACAGTTCTGCAAAACAAACAAAAAATAAAAAAGGACAGATGACACCTGTGTCAGATAAAAACATTGTGTCGCTTATCTCAGGGGTCGGTGATTTGGTCAGTGAAGATTATAACCTGCTGATAATCTGCAGTCTTAGCAAGATGCCAGAGACACTGAAAAGTTAAGCAGCCAACCTCAGGGGCTGCAGGTGTCCACGGTGAGACATAAGGAATCAATAAAAATGTAAATGGCAATTCCCAGCACACAATGGACAAATGGTTAAAGAATGTGAACAGTTTTCTTCCTCTTAAGACCACAAGTTACAAAAGGGTGGCTGATTTGCAATGGTGGTGGGATTTTCTATACTTCGAGTTCCCTGAATGGATGATACAACAGGCCTAGACAAGAAAAGAAGACTAGGACACAATCCTATGATGCCACTAAGTCTGAAAAATGTGAGGACTACAGAAACCTGGAAAGTTTCACAAAAGAGGCCCAGGGACCCCCATGGAAACAGAAGAACCAATGACATACCAACTTCGACTAATAGTGGGAAACTGGAATGGGAATTAAAGCCAAAGACAAAATCCTGCTGGAGACTTGCACTGAAATCAATGTATAAATATGCTGAAAAGGAAGTTTAAGAAACCAACCTGATGTTTAATATTCAAGGTCCCAATAACTATAAATTCAAATGGAGACAAAATCAACCAGTACAATCTCCCTTTCGGTCCTCCCGGCAGGTGACTCTCAGTGGAGTTGGCCAGACAGGCCTTCTCTCTGTGCCTTGAAGCACAAGATACTCCCACGATGCCCCCAGGCCTGGAATATTCTCCATCCTCACGGAAGTCCTCTCTTCCTCTAACTCAGAGCTATAATTACTTTTAACAGGAAGCCTTTCTTGATTCCCCTTGTACCCTCCCTCCCTACTTAGAGAATGCTAGAAAATCAACTAAAAATTAATTGAAACAAGTAGCAACTTTAGCAAAGTTGCAGGATATAAAATAAACTCACATAAATCATTAGCATTTCTATATATTATCACAAAAATGCAGCAGGAAGAGATAGAGAAATTCCATTTAAAATGACTACACAGAGTACAAAATACTTGGGAGTCTACCTGCCAAGATAAACCCAGGATCGTATGAACACAATCACAGAACACCTTTCACACAAATAAAGACAGATCTAAACAATTAGAGAAACATTAATTGTTCATGGGGTAGGAGGAGCCAATATAATGAAAATGACAATACTACCTAAATTAATTTACTTATTCAGTGCCACAGTAATCAAACTACCAAAGAATTACTTTAAAGAGAGAGAAAAAGTAATAACAAAATTCATTTGGAAGAATAAAAGATCAAGAATATCATGGGAATCAATTTTAAAAAGTGAAAGAAGGTGGCCTAGCCATACCAGATCTCAAATTGTACCGCAAAGCAGTAATCATTAAAACAATCTGGTTCTGGCTAGGAATGAAGTAGTGGATTGGTGGAATGCACGAGATACACAATACACAGTATTGTATTGTAAATGACCACAGTAATCTAGTGTTTGATAAACACAAAGATCTGAGCTTTGGGGGCAAGAACTCACTATTCAATAAAAATTGCTGGGAAAACTGGAAAGCAGTTTGGCAGAAACTAAATAGAGACCAACATCTTACATTGTATACCAAGATAAGATCAAACTGGGGATATGATCTGGACATAAAGGGTAATAACATTACTAAGGGAGCATGGAGAAAATTACCTATCAGATCTATGGATAAAGGAAAGTTTTATGACCAAGCGTGAGATAAAGAGGATCACAAGAGATAAAATGGCTAATGGTGACTACATGAAATTTAAAAGTTTATGCAGAAAAGGGGCAGGTAGGTGGTACAGGACTGAAATCATGAAGACTCCTCTTCCCAAGTTCAAATCTGGCCTCAGACATTTACTAGCTGTGTGACCCTGGCCAAGTCACTTAACCCTGTTTGCCTCAGTTTCTTCATCTGTAAAATGAGCTGGAGAAGGAAATGGTAAACCACTCCAGTATCTTTGTCAGTAAAACCCCAAATGGGGTCACAAAGAGTCAGACATGATTGAACAATAACTGAAGCACAAACAAAATCAATGAGAAGGAAAGCAGGAAACTGAGAAAAAAAATTTACATTAAATCTCTTTGATGAAGGCTTCATTTCTCAAAAATACAGTGGGCCAAATTTATAGGAACTATTCACCAATTGATAAATGGTTAAAGGACATGAAAAGGCTATTTTCAGATGAAGAAATCAAGACCATCAATCATATAAAAATGCTCCAAATCACTAATAATTAGAAAAGTGCAAATTAAAATAACTTTGAAGTACCACCTCACACTTATTATATTGGTTAACATGACAGAAAAGGAAAACAACAAATGTTGGAGGGAGTGTGGAAAAATAGGGACACTAATGCATAGCTGGTGGAATTGTGAACTGGTCCAACCATTCTGGAGAACAATTTGGAACTAGGCCCACAGAACTATAAAACTGTGCGCACCCTCTGACCCAGCAACACCACCTATATCTCAAAGAGATCAAAGCAAAAGGCAAAGGATCTGCATGTACCAAAATATTTATGGCACCTTTATTTGTGGTGGCAAAGAACTGAAAACTGAGGAGATGCCCATGAATTGGGGAATGGCTGAACAAATTAGGGCATACGGTTATGATGGAAAAGAAATGATGTGCAGGATGTTTCAGAAAAACCTGAGAAGACTTATATGAACTGATGCAGAGTGAAGCGAGCAGAACCAGGAGAACACTGTATACAGCAACAGCAATACTGTACGATGATCAACTGTGAGTGATTAGCTCTCCTCAGCAATACAACAATCCAAGACAATTCCGAAGGACTCACGATGAAAAATGCTAACCACATCCAGAGAGCAAAGTAGAGGACTCTGAGAGCAGACTGAAGCATAATACTGTTTTTGCAACATAGCCCATGTAAAATGATTATTATATTTCTTGCTTTCTAAATGGGTAGGGGAGTGAGTGGACAGAGGGAGAGAATCTGGAACTCAAAATTAAAAAAAAGAATGTTGAAAAAAATAAAAATAAAAGTGTTGCCCCCAGAATGACCAGCTGGGATGTCGTCTGTAAGGACCAACCTACCTGGCTTTCCCTCACTCACCTGGACAGCTGACTGCTGGGGCCTCTCCCTCAAGCACCCAAGGGCCTTCCACTTGCTCCAACTGGTAAATCACATCTGGTTTGGAAACTGCAAGTCCTGCTCATTGGAAATGCGAGAGACACCTTGAATATAATCACTGTCCCTTCTCTCTTTGGGGACAAGTAGCCATATTAGGAGAGGCAGCTAGATAGCCCAGTGGATAAAGCACTAGGCCTGGAGTTAGGTAGACCTGAGTTCAAATCTGGCCTCAGATATTTACTAGCTGTGTGACCTCGAGCAAGTCACTTAACCTGTTTGCCTAGGAGGCAGCTTGGTGGTTCAGGGGATAAAGCACTAGGCCTAGAGTGAGGAAGACTTGAGTTCAAATCTGGCCTCAGACACCAGACGTGTGACCCTGGGCAAGTCACTTACCTTGTATGCCCTAATCCACTAGAGAAGGAAATGGCAAACCACTCCAGTACCTTTGCCAAGAAAATCCCACGGACAGTATGGTCCATGGGGTCATGAAGAGTTAGATGTGACCGAATGACTGAATAACAAAGAGACATAGTGGGAAGATCCAAAGGGCAGGACAACCGACCCTAAAGGACACAGAACTGTGGGGAAACGGATCATGGGGTCAGTCTGGGCTGGTAAGAAGATGGGAACGTTTCACGTCTGCAGGCAGCTGCCCTGGGACTTTGGGAGAGAATCTCTGAGCTGAGTAAGCAGAACAGAGGAAGCACACTCTCAGGGACACCAGAAACTGCCCATTTCCAGCCACAGAAATGACCGACTTTTACTGGGGGACAGGCTGGAGTGCCCTGTCTCTTGGCCATGCAGGATTAGGAGGCTCTGGTCTCTACATGACAGATAACTGCTAGACACTCAGGACAGCCCCAACACGACTAAAGAAGGAAGCACGGTCTGCCATGGGGCAGATACTGGGGCCCGGGGAGCCATCCTTACCCAGCCAGACCAGGTTCCTGTAGTTCTCCAGCATCACGTCCCTGTACAGCTCCTTCTGGGAAGGGCGCAGGTTCCCCCACTCCTCCAGGGTGAAGTCCACAGCCACGTCCTTGAAGGTCACCAATGCCTGAAGCAGCAAATACAAGTGTGGGTACAGCTTAAGAACTACTTGACATCAGACTATAAGCTCCTCAAGGGTAGGGACTGTTTTCGACTCTGTATCCCCAGCGCTTAGCACAGTGCTTGGCACACAGTAGGCATTTAATAAATTGACTGATTGACTGAAATTGCACAGGGAGGAAAGATAAAGGGAATGGAGATCACCAGATTCAGGCCTCAGTTCCATTCCAAATACTTAGTGAACACCTACTGTAAGCCTAAGTTTAGACTAGACTCTGAAGTATGTCACCAGAGGAAGAGCAGTTCATACGGGCACTGCAGTCTTTGCCCTCAAAGAGCTCACATTATAACCAGGGAGCCAACATGTAAAGAAACAGGGACAGCCAAGGTACAACCTGGGAAGGGAAGGCAGGGTGTCTGGGGGGTCTGGAAAGGCGTTCACAGAAGACAGATGTTGAGCTGGCTCTTGAAGGAAGCCAGGGACTCTAAGGAACAGAAGGGAGGGAACAGAGCACTCCAAATGTGGGGGACAGCCTGTGCAAAGGCTCAGAGATAGGAAGTGGAGGAGTGACTGAGAACTGTAAACCAGGCGGTGGAAGGTGTGGAGGTGAGCAAGGTGCAAGAAGGCGCCAGGGGTGAAGAGCTTTCAGTGCCCAGTGAAGGACTTCAGATTTGATTCGAAGGTAATAGGGAGCCCTGGAAACTATTGAGGAGCAGGGTAACGTGGTCACCATGGTGGCAGAGTGGAGGACAGACTGCAGTGGGGAGAGACTGGAGAAGGGGAAACCATTCAGGAAGCCAGCGCTGTGGCCCAGGAGAGAGCCGACGAGGGCCTGCACTGGGGTGCTGGCTCGGGGAATAGAGAAAAGGAGGGATAAACGAGAGATGATGTGGAGATATAAAAGATGAGTCTTGGCAATGGAATGGATATGTGGAATGGGTATGAGGAAGAAGCTGAGGATGTCACCTAGGTTCTGAGTCCAGGTAACAGAGAAGATGGTGGGCCCCTCAACAGTAACAGGGAAGTTTGGAACAGGGGAATGTTTTGGGGAAAAGATAATGAGTTCTGTTTTGGACATGCTGGATTTGAGATATCTACAGGACACATAGGCTGAAATCACCCATGTGATGGCAATGTGGGGGCTCAGGAAACTGGGGCTACACAAATAAATCTGAGACTCATCAGTGCAGAAATAACTGAATTCATGGAGCTGATGAGATCACCAATGAAATGCTATAGAAAAGTAAGAAAAAGGGGCTCAAGACAGAGCCCTGTGGGACCACCCAAAGTTGTAGGGGCAACATGGATGAAAACCCAGCAAAGAAGACTGAGAAGGAATAGTCAGGAAAGAGATGAACCTGGATAGAGTAGTGTCACAAAATAGCAAGGGTGGAGAGAATATTCAGGAGGAAAAAGTGATTAACAGCATCAAAGCTACAGAGAGGTGTAGGAGGAGGAGAATGAAGAAAAGGCCATTCAATCTATCAATTAAAAGGTCATCGGTAAGTTTGGAGTAACATTTCAGTTGAATGATGAGGTCAGAAGCCAGACTGTAGAGGGTTCAGAACAGGGTAAGAGGAGAGAGTGTGCAGGCACCGAGTGTAGACAGCTTTTTAAAGGAGTTTAGCTGAGAAAGGGCAGAAAGCTAGAGGGTAATAGCTGGCGGGGATAGCATCAAGAAATCAACTGATTCAGGTTCTCCAGGGCTACACGCACTCACTGGTCACCAGACAAAGATTTCAAATTTATGGAAGAACAAGGGAAGACATGTGAACTGGTGCAGTGAGAGAAGCAGAACCAGGAAATCAATATATGACCACAGCAATACAAATAACTAAATAATGACTGCAACAATACAAACTGAAAGAACAATAAACAACTAAAACTGAATGCTCTGAAATCATAATGATCACATTTAGCCCCAAAGAATGGATGGACGGAAGACAAAGTGTTTATAATACACCTACCATGTGCCAAGGGCTAGGGATACAAAGAAAAAAGGCACAGCAGTCCCTGTTCTCAAGGAGCACGGGCCCCAAAGCAGGAGATAACCCAGAAGAGAGGTCAGCCACAGGTCGAATGGCCAGGCCCCAGAGGCCAAAGGGCTCCACGTGGGGCAGAGAGCAAGGCCTAGGGACCTGGCGGGTGGACTGGCAGCATGGGCAGAGGGCAAGGGCTTATGGTCCGGTCATCCATCTGACCAGGACTGCATATGCGGAGTGTCAGTTCATCCCAATGGGAGGAGCAACAGCTCGTCCTACCTGGATGCCCTTGGGTGTCTGGTCAGCCTGGGGCAGTCAGAGGGCGAAGGCAAGGTAGAAGGAGGATTCTGGGGGGCCCCAGACTCAGAGCTGGGATGAAAACCCATCTCCAGATCATCCTTTCACCATCATGAAGCTGCCTCTGATTTTAGCCAAGGATCACACTTAGACTGTCACTTTTCCAATGAGTGTGAATCATACACTTAACTCTCACACCTCCAAATCATTCATTTAATATTGTGAATAATTAGAAACATGGAGCATAACACTCAGCACGTTCTAAATATTAATTACAAGCTACAGCCTATTGTAAAAAAAAGAAACTGGGACACCTCCATGGGCAAAGAAACCAACCTTTATTAAGAGAAAAAAGGTGGGGCCTACAGTCTGCCCAGGGTGGTCTGAGACCCCAAGAGACAGAATTCACAGTATTTATAGGGCTCTTGATGCATGAATGGTGCAACAAAGTCCTCTGGAAGCAGATTCATGCAAGATTGCACTTTGCAGGTCACTCTGTCCTGACTTCATGACGTCCTCACTCTGTACTCTCCATGGTGTCTCTCTCAGCCCTTTACAAGCCTTTCTCACTCTATCATTTATAAAGATGACTATATAGGTGTGATCACTGTGGTCACATACTTAAGATACACACTCTCTAATGATTTAGTCGCACTTCTAAGGGTAACTAACACAGAAATTGCCCTGGGACAACATCACAGTTTGGTCACACACAGGTTTTCCACCCCGGACTATGTTCTTAATTACAAATCACACAGTTATTTCTTCTAATGATTAGCGCTGATAAAAGACTGAAAAGCAACGGAGAGCAAAGCATCCCAGGCTCTGGTTACTGACCTTCTCCCTTTCACCACAGAGCAGTCACCCCCCATTAATGATTAAATACTGTTTCTTTAACACGACAGACACCATCATTTGCATTTCTGTTCCAAGTGCACAAGGTCAGACTAAGTCCAGTGAGCTCTCAATAGCCATTTCTACATGGTGGTTTCACTGTAACCACAACCCACACATTCTACAGAAACCAGGAGTACATCAATAGTATGTACACTTGTACCTGCACAAAAATTAGAAATTTATCACTAGCACACATGTGAGTATGTGTACATATTCATGTTTATATATATATATACACACACACATATGTTTTATACATTTGATATGTATGTATATGTGTACACATGTACACAAATAAAATCTTCCTCTAAATGTTTAGAGCATTAATGCCATATATACTCCCTTCTGAAGTAACAATCAAACACCATGGAACAGCACACGATCTACAAATGTGCCATGGCTACTCCTGAATTCTTCTGGTCTTACAGTGGGAGGGGAAGGGAATGGGGGCAGAGAGGAGCCAGTAGCTTCTTCTCCCTTTGGAGTCCTGGCTCCAGCACTTACTATCAGGACACTCCTAGACAAGGAACGTCTCCCCTCTGATACTCTGTTTCTTCATCTATAAAATAAGGATATTATTTTTGAACACCCACAAGCTTCTGTGAATCATATTTTAAATCTTCAAGTGGGATGTAAGTATTTTCTATCATTATTAAGAATTTGTGACATCCCTCTCAGCAGCCAGTTCAGTCCAGGGCATAGGGTGGGACTGAATCCCTTGACAAAGGATGGAGAGGGGAAGGCAGGGACAGCAGGCAAAGAGGAAACACCCGGAGGAAAGGGCTGGAGGTGCTGCCTAGGCTGCTTACAACCTGTGTGACCCTGGATGGGTCCCTGCCCCTTCCTGGGCCTCAGTCTCCTCCTCTGTAAAAAGAGGGGACTGCACACAAGATCTCTAAGGCACCAGCTCAGCCTAGTTCCCGATGGGCTCCATTTCTTGAGTAAGAGGATATGGGAAGGGAACATATTTCCAACTGGAGAGCTAAGGTATTTATTTCAGAAAAAAACAAAAACTACTCCCGCTTACCTGGTGAGCCACGGGAGGGAGAAGGACAAGGGCCATGGCTTTGCTCAATGCTTTCACGTCGGGGGAAATTGAGACTCCTCAGCCGTCAGCCCTGGGGAGCAAAAAGCAGACATCAGAGGAATTGGCCCTGCTGTGTTTAGACCCACAGCCCGGAAATCCTAACGTTCTTCCTGGTTAGAGAGAGATTAGAGAGAGCTCATGGACTAGTCCAACCACTCCACTCCATTCCATCCAACCAACACAAATGAAGCACCTACTAAGTGCAAGGCACTGTCCTACTGTCCACTGAGGAATACAGGAACAGAAACAGAGCAGTGCCTGTCCTCCCAGAGCTTACATTCCACTGGGGGAACAGAACATGTACAGACAGGAAAAAGGAGATACTCAGAAAATGGAGAAAGTGCTAAGAAGTGGAGGGGGAAGCACGGATTTCACGGCAGATCTGGCTGCAGAGATGAGGTCTGAAGGATGGCAAGGATCGCCAGGGACAGAGGTGGGCAATGAAAGCCTTCCAGGCGTGGGGGCTGTGGGGACACGAGGGAAGAGCACGGAGGGAGGACACGGAATGTCAAGGGCAGAAAACACCTTCCTGCTCCAGTCTGGCTGGGAGATCGAGCAGGTAAGGAGAGTCACGGGAAAGGAATCTGGAAAGAAGACTGGAGTCTGATTGTGGGGGCCATGGATGTGGGAAGGCTAGGGCCTTCTCTCTGGTAATTAGTTTCAATTTATCCCACATGTAGCTGTTTGTACATAGCTTCTGCCTGTTCTTTCTTCCACTAGATTGCAAGCTCCTTAACGGCAGGACCTGTCTTTTTACCCTCCTTTGCATTCCCAGTGCTTAGCACAGTCTATGACACACAGTTAGTGCTTAATAAATGCTTATTCACTGACTGGCACTGGTTTATTCACACCTCCCCCCCAACAACCCTCTCCCCAGCCCCGGAGGCTGGCCACTCATCGGGCTTGTTACAGTGGAGGTTCATGTCATGTGTCAGGAGGATTAGCGGGCCATGAAGGTCCTTTTAAACTCTCCCACTCTGTGATTCTGTGATTCTATGTTGGGAGACAGAACGCAAGGGCTTGGCCAGTGATGGGATATGGGCTGAGGAATAGGGAAGCATCAGCGAGAGCTCTGAGGTCCCAGCTGAAAGGATGGTAATATATCGGACAGAAAAAGGAAGTGTGTAAAAGGAGGGACTTGGGACGAGAGGGGTAGGCTAATGAATTCAGTTTTGGATATCAAGGTGGAAAAATGCATAAATGGCCTATGGGAGAGGAAAGGCAGAATTGAAACTTAACAGGACCTAAGAGTTTGAAGTGGTCACAGCAGAAATATAGAGAAGCTTGGAAGGGGAAGGAGCATAAGGGGAAGGGGAAACAGGAAGGGGAAGAGAAGAAGCAAGAACAGGAAAAAGGCTAGGAAAGGAAGACAGTGGGAGGAAGACAGAGGAAGATGGAAAATAAGGTGTAGAAAAGAGAAGGAAAACAGAAAAGGAGAGAAAAAGAACTTTGTCATACTTTAATGCAGGCCCACTATGTGCCAGGCCCACTGCTAATGCCTCCCCAGGACGCTCCATCATGCCTTCTGTCTCCAGGAAGTGCATCACTGGGACTCTCATTGTCCTGCTCAGACTGACTCTGCCTGGTCTTCCCTTCTCCACAGCCCCCTCTGCTCCTCTGACTGGACCCTCTGACTGAGGCTAGAGCCAGGGGCTCCAGGGGCTCCAGGGGCTCCAGGGCCTCTACTTAAGGAGTGGGCTCCACTGCTGTGGGCCTTTCCCTGTGCCAGGTGCATTCTTCTTCCTCCCCCTCCCTCCCTCCCAATCCCCACCCCCTTCTTCTTTTTTCTGTCAAATTGTAAATGGAAAGGGAGGAGAGGAAAGGAAAATGCATTTAATTAACTGAGAGGCAAAAAAGTGGGGAGGGAGAATTACATAACCAGATAAAAACAGGAGGGGGGGAAAGGAACTAATAAACAAAATCCCAAAGGAAAACGGGTAACAAATTAGAAGAAGGGATCAGGGGGTGAGAGGACAAGAGCCAGTGGGAACAGGCCCAACTTTTAATAAAGATTAAAGCAAAGTAACCAGAGGAACACCATGCTGTTTTTACAGCAGAAGAGGGGGAAAAATCGTCATTAGAAAAACCCTCAATATTAGAGACAGAAGGAGGAAAATATAAACCTAACTCTTATCATTTTGAACGTGAATGGATTAAATAATCCAATAAAACCAAAAAGCATCCAGATTTGATGAGAAAACAAAACTCTACAATCTGTTGCTTAAAAGAAACACATTTAAAAAACAAAGATGTATAGAAAATGAAAATGAGGGGATGGACAAAAATTCACTATGCATCAAATGAATCTAAAAAAGCAGTAATTGCAATCATGCCAACTAACAAAGCAAATTCAAACATTCAAAAAATAAAAAAGTATCAACAAAGAAATGATATTATAAGGAAAGGAACCACAGACAACAAATCAATATAAATAACAAACTTGCATGCTTGAAATCACTTAGCATCCAGATTCATAAAGGAAACATTACATAAACTTCAAGGAGACACAGACAGTAACAACAGTAACGGGAGACTTCAAAATCCCTAGTGTTGGATAAGTCCAACAGATGGACAAAAGGGAAAATGTGACATTGAACAAACTGCTGGAAAAACCAGAGTTAAAAGATGTATGGTGTCTTCTAACTGATACAGCAAAGGCATATATATATATATATGTCTTGGCACCACATGGAAATTTTGCAAAAACTGACAATGTACTAGGGCATAGAAATATTGCAAAAGATATGGTAAAAAGGTAGTAAAAGTTATCACATTCTTTACAGACCATTAACAGAATAAAAATAGAAATTGGTTGACAGATCATAAACAAAAGATACAGACCCAAAGGAAGACTTAACAACAGAATTTTAAATGAGTAGGTCAAAGAACAAATCATAGAAACAATAACTATGTAAAAGAAAATGATAATGATGAAACAACATACCAAAATTTCTGAAATGTAGCTAAAGCAGTCCTCAGGGGGAAAATCATATCCTTACAAACATACATTAACAAAATAGAAAAAAAAAAGGATTAATTAACTGAATATCCATTTTTTAAAATTGGAAAACCAATAAGTAAACAAATTGAAAATAAGTACAAAAGAGGAAATAATAAAAATTAGAGGGGAAACAGATACATTGCAAACAAAATTCCCATAAAAATTATAAATAAAACTAAAATTTGAAAAGAATAATAAAATGACAAACTCTTAGCTCATCTGATTTTTAAATAAGGAAATAAAAAATCAAATCAAGAAAACAGCAAATGAACAAGGTGAAATCACAGCAACATCAGAAGATATAAACAGAATAATCTTATACACATCTTATGCTAACAAAATTGAGGACCCAAAAGAGGAATACTTTCAAAAATATAAACGATCCAAACTATCAAAAGTCCAGATAGTTATCTTAAACAACCCAATCTTAGAAGAGGAAATAGATGTAGCTGTAAAGGAACCAACAAAGAAAAAAACTGCTGGTCCTGATGGATTCACAGGAAAATTCTATCAAATTTTCAAAGAGCAGTTAGTGCCCATACTTCCCAAATTACTCTAAAAACTTCAGGAAGAAAGCATCCTGCCAGAATCCTTTTTATGAGACAAATATAGTCCTAATATTTAAACCAAGAAAAAATAAAACATAGAAAGATAACTAAAGGTCAATATCATTAATGAATACTGACTCAAAAATTTTAAATAAAATCCTATCAAATCGACTATACAGAGATTTATCCAAGAAATCATTATTATTATCAAATGAAATTTATGTTAGGGATGCAAGGATAGTTCAAAATTAGGAAAACAATCAACATGATTAATCATACTAAAAACCAAAATATCCAAAACCACATGATCATCTCAATAGATGGGAAAAAAGCCTGTGACAAAGTACAACACTCTTGTATGCTAAAAAAAAAGAATCCTACAAAATACTAGGCATAGAGGGACCTTTTAAAAATATATATCACAGGGGCAGCTAGGTGGCGCAGTGGATAGAGTACCGGCCCTGAAGTCAGGAGGACCTGAGTTCAAATCTGGCCTCAGACCAAGTACTTGACACTAGCTGTGTGACCCTGGACAAGTCACTTAATCCCAACTGCCTAAAAAAAAAATACATATATATATATATCAATCATCAAAGGTATCTATTTAAAACCAAAAGTAGGTCTCTTCAGTTCACACCACCCCACCTGTCTGGGCAGTGAATCCCCGTCTGCTGCCCAGCTGAATGACCTTGTACAGACATGTCCAGAGTCCCAGGTCCCAAGTATGGGTTCTTCTTGGCTGTCACGGGCTCCTTGGCCACCATGGTCTTCAGTACTCCTGGTGTGGCTCACGGCACAGCACAAAGTGGCCCTGGTACATGGCCATGCTCACTCAGCCTGAGATGATCACGACGATCGTGACTATCATTGTGGCCGGTATCATCGCCATCTGTGGTCTGGTGGTGGCTGTTCTCATTGCCAGTATTCCACTGGTGGGAATCACGATGTTCACGAGCTTCCTTCGGCTGGGGGCAGGCCTCAGTGTGCGCCTGAGGGGGCTGGTAGCCGGCTTTGCTATTGGCACCGGAGGCGAGGCTGGTGTTCTGGGGACAGCAGGGAGCAGGGGGATGAACCTAATCCCGATCGTCTATGACGTGTCAGACCTGTAAGACGTGGCTGTGGCCCTCCTTCTTTCTACAGAGTAGACCCTCTTCCTCTCCCTTCTTCTCAGATCCGCCTCCCAACTCTTCTCCCTGCAACTACAGCATTAGATGTAAAGGCCCGTCTTAAATTGCCCCATCTCTCTCCATTTACTCCAAAATGATTAGCCTGACACTTGGTACAGTTGTCCAGTTGCCAGTAAATGTGCAATGTCTTAGGGACTCTTCAATCTGCACCAGACTGGATGGCCCTGCACTAGGCCTGGTTGGCACTGAGGTCTCCTGGGGCCAGGCAGCCATGCAAAATCTGGAAATTCAAGACTGTGGTCATGTCAGTATTGATAAGAATTGTAGGGGGCAGCTAGGTAGCTTAGTGGATAGAGCATCAGCCCTGGAGTCAGGAGGACCTGAGTTCAAATCCAGCCTCAGACCAGACACTTGACACTTACTAGCTGTGTGACCCTGAGCAAGTCACTTAACCCCAACTGCCTTGCCAAAAAAAAAAAAAGAATTGTATGATTTGGGAAGATGGAGAACATGTTTCCAGTGGTGCTGTGGCACTGGACCACAGCTGACAGTGATGTTTCCAAAGAAAATTCTGATTCTGATTAGAAAAAACAAATAACAGCATCATATGCAACGGGGATACACTAGAACTTTCCCCAACAAACACGAGAGTGAAGTGAGGAGGCCCGCTCTCCCCATTATTATTTGATACAGTTCTGGAAATGCTAGCAATAGCAAAAGACAAGAGAAAGAAATTAAAGACATAAAGATAAGTAAAGAGGTAATAAAACTTCTCTGCTGATGATACGATGAAAAATCCTAGGTAAACAGCAAAGATACTAACTGAGACAATAATTTCAGCAGAGTGGCATGCTACAAAACAAATCCACAAAAACTCACAGCATTTATAATTAATAATAACAAACCAAAAGAAACAGTAACAGAAAGGGAAATCCTATTCTGAATAATTACAAAAAGCATAAAATATCTGGGGATCAACCTCTCAAAGCAAAAGACTTGATACATTTAGCTACAAAGTATTCCTTAAAGAAACAAAACGATAGGGGCAGCTAGATGGCACCGTGGATAGAGCACCGGCCCTGGATTCAGGAAGACCTGAGTTCAAATCTGGCCTCAGACACTTGACACTTACTAGCTGTGTGACCCTGGGCAAGTCACTTCACCCCACTGCCTCACCAAAAAAAAAAAAAGAAGAAGAAGAAGAAGAAGAAAATAAGAAACAAAGGATAAAATAGCTGGAGGAATATTCTGTGCTCATGACTAGGCTATGCCAATATAATAAAAATGACACTATCAAAATTAATGTATACTTTTAATGTTATACTAGTCAAATTATTAAGGGGACATTATATAGAACATGATAAAATAATAACAAAATTCATTTGGAAAAAAAAATAGATTCTAGAATACCAAGGGAAATCTAGAATACCAAGGGAAATGATGAAAAGAAGTAGGAATGAACAGGAATGTCACTTTCAGACCTCAAACTATATTATAAAGCAGCAGTAATCAAACCATCTAGTGGTGGCTAAAGAACAGAGACATTGATCATTGGAACAGATTTGACAAGAGGCACTCAAAAACAACAGAACCCAGTGTTTGATAAAGTGGAAAACATAAATTACCTAGGGAAAAACTCCCTGTTCGATAAAAACTGCTGGGAAAACTGAAAGGTGATCTGGCAGAAAATGGGCTCAGACAAAAACCTTGTATCACATTCCACAACACGTTCTAGATGGACACATGGCCTTAACATCAAAAAAATGAGAAGAGCAGATCATGTATCTCTCACAGCTATGGGTACGACATGTACTCTTAACAAAACAAGAGAAAGAAGCAATTTGGAAAAGTTAAAATAAATAACTTTGATTATGTAAAACTGAAAAGCTTCTGCACAGACAAGATTAATGCACCTAGGATAAAAAAAAGTGTTGAATGGGGAAAAAATCTTTAAATTTCTCAAATAAGGGTTTGGTGTCTAAGACATATAAACAATTAACATATATATACATATATGTATATATGTATTTTATATACACATATATATGTATGTGTGTTTGTGTGTGTGTGTGTGTATATATGTAAAACCAATAGTCATTCCCCAAAGGACATGAATAAAGAGTTTTCAAAAAAAGAACTACAAAATATTCACAACCACGTGAAAAATGCTCCAAATCACTAATAATAAGAGAAATGTCAATCAAAACAACCCTGAGATTACACTTACACTCTGCAAATTGGCAAAAAAATGATGAAAAAAATAGCAATAGTTAATGTTGGAAGGGTTGTGGAATGATAAGCACACTAATACGCTGCTAGTGGAGTTATGAAATGGTATAGCCCAGGAGTGGGGAACCTGCGGCTTTAAGGCCACATGTGGCCTTCTAAGGCCTTAAGTGCAGACTTTTGACTGAATGCAAATTTTACAGAACAAATTTGTTGTGTAAAATTTGGATTCAGTCAAAAGGCCATACTTGGTCTTTTTTTTTTTTTTTTGGTTAGGCAATGGGGTTAAGTGACTTGCCCAGGGTCACACAGCTAGTGTTATGTGTCTGAGGCCGGATTTGAACTCAGGTCCTCCTGAATCCAAGGCTGGTGCACTATCCACTGCGCCACCTAGCTGCCCCTCACATGTGGTCTTAAGGCTACAGGTTTCCCCACCCCTGGTATAACCATTTTGGAAAGCAATTTGGAATTATGTAAATAAGGGGACTAAAATGCCCATGGCCTTTGAACCAGAGACTCACTGCTGGGTTTATACATCAAAGAAGCCAAGAAAAAAGTCCCCATATACTCCAATATATTTACGGCAATACTTTTTGAAAGCTAAAAACTGGAAAAAAAGTGATGTTCCACAATTGTGGAATGGCTGAACAAATTGTGGTAGACAAATGTAACAGAATACTACTGCACTATAAGAAATAATGTGTATGATGAATACAGAGAAGCCTGGAAAGATCTCTATGAACTGGTGCAGAGGGAAGTCAGCAGAACCAAGGAAACTATATACAAAGTATATAGTAATGACAACACTGTAAATGGAAAGGATAACAATCCAGAGACACCCAGAAGTCGATGTAACAAAATTATAAAGCTCAAGCAGGACTGAGAATGAAGAAGAGAAGACAGCCCCAGTCCACCCCTGGCAGAAGGTGGGAGGTCCACAGAGGTCACACACCACACACTTTCATACTTTTTTTACTGGATCAATCAGTTATGATGTGGGTTTTTCTCTGAAAAAAAATCTTGTTTGTCACATGGGATGGCTCTCTGGGAGGGTGAGGAGTTCGTGAGATACTATGGTGACACAAGAAACAGAAAATATCATTTAAAAACTTCAAAATAAAAGTAAGCTTCTTGAGGGCAGGGCTTCTATGTGGAGTGCCAGACAACCGGTCCAGTTAAAGACCAATTTAAGGAGGCCCAGCCCAAAGATGCCTTCTGTACTGAACTCAGCTCCCTAGGACTTTGCCTTCTCCCCCTTTCCAACTCCACTTTATGTTTTGAAGGCTTCATTAGACCATAAGCTCCTTGAGGGCAGAACTTCTGTGTAGAGTACCAGCTTCAGCTCAGCACCTGGCATATAGATTTATGATAGCCTTACAAATACTTGTGCCTGACTGACACTGCCAGCGCTCCATTTCACAAGCTTCAATGGCTCCCTATGGCCCTTTCACAAGAGGGCCCCAGCTTCTCCTGACATCTAAACCGGCCTACTTGCTGTGCCCACACAGGGCATTCTCTCTCCCATCACAAGGCCTTTGCCCGTGCGCTCCCCCACACCAGGCACGCCTTCCCTCCCCACCTCTGCCTCTTAGAATCCTCACCTCCCTCCAAAGCTCTGCCCCCGAGGCCCTTCCTGATTCCCCCTCTCCCATCAGGGAGTCGAGGTGTCTTCAAACTTCCCTAGTAGAGCGTAAGCTCCTCCAGGGGCAGGGGCTGGCTCGCCTTCGGTCTTCGTCTCCCCCTGACTCCCCACCCCAGCCTGGTGGAATTAGGGTTTGTCCATTGACAGAGCCTCAGTTCTCTGCTGACAGCCCAAAGAACTGCACGTGGCCCCAACCACGAGGGCAACAGGGCAGAGGATGGCCTGGGCCGCCCTGGAGGGAGGAGCCAGAGAGGATGAGAGGAGGAAAGGTACAAGAGAGGGAGAAGCGGGGGAGGGGTGACGCGTTTGATTGGCTCTCAGTTCTAGCCCCACCCCCTCGGGGGCCAATAAGCACATCAACTCGGGAAGAGGGCGTGGCGATCGGCCGGCCCCTTGGCACCTAAGAACCGCATGCGCAGAAGCCACCTGGCTTGGTTCCCAAGATGGGTATGAACAGAAGCAGTCCGCCCCCAGGCTCCCAGAAATGTGCTGCGCGTGCGCAGAAGCAGCCGGGCTAGGACCTAGCGAGAGGGAAGCTGGCCGAGGAACATGGCGCCCGAGGCCCCGCTCCCTCCCCGCAGCCCCACCGACCGCCCGCTCCCCCGGCGCTACCTTTCTCAGCGGCGGGGTCTCCGCTGCCGGGCCTCGGAGGCGGCGTGGAACGGAGGCCTGAGCGGATCCCAGACGGACGCTAAGGGCGCCAGGACTAAAGAACCAAGCGAAAGGAAGTCCCGCGTGGGCCGCGCTCCCTCCCGCCGCCTGGGCCGCAAGGGCTTCTGGGAAAGCCAGTGCGGAGGCCCGAGGCGGCTTGTGCGCATGCTCCGGGGAGGTTGGGAGCCCCAGAGGTGTCTGTGGGACCATCCGTTCCCATCCACCCGGGGTCGGGAGGAAGCGCCCCCCCGTGCGCGTCTCCAGCTGTCCCTGGGAGTTCTTGCAGCCCCTCGTCCCCTTTGCCTGGAATGCCCTCTCTCCCTGCGCGCCCTTTCGCTCTCAGAGTCGCAGCTATCCTTCAAGGCTGGGCTCAGGGGCTGCCTCCTCCAGGAAGCCTCCCGTGAACCCTCCCCCTTGTTAGTGCTCTCCACCATTATGCAGTTCTCTTGTCTCGTGTGTGTTCACCCCAGTAAGAAGTCACCACACCGTTAGGCACTGCAAATAGTCCTATGGGACCATATGAATGTGAAAGAGTCATTGAAGGGTTAGCTTGTCTTTACCATTGTAGTCCACAACCTATGATTGCTGTTCAGTCGTTTTTTAGTCGTGTCCGTTTGGGATTTTCTTGGCAAAGATACTGGAGTGGCTTCTTCAGCATCTCCAGCTCATTTGACAGATGAGGAAACCGAGGCAAACAGGGTGAAGTGACTTGCCCAGGGTCACACAGCTCGGAAGTGTCTGAGGCCAGATTTGAACTCAGGAAGATGAATCTTCCTGACTCTAGGCCTGGCATTCTATCCACTGCACCACCTAGCTGCCCTAGATGTAGAAGGGTAGAATTGTGGACAGTTCTTCCTGATGCCACTCAGCTCCAACTGAGGAGCTCCTAAAAGACCCTTTCAGGGAGAGAAAGCAGAAGCAGGCAGCCAGGGGTCCGAGGACCAGGCTCCGAATCAAACGCACCCAGTGGGGGGGGGGGGGGGGGGGAGTTCCAGGGAGCCTCCTGTTCAGGAGAGAGAAGAGTGAGAACGAAAGCTGTCTCTCTCGTTAATGTCTCCCGGGTGGGCATCTCTTATGGCCTCGGGAAGGGAACAGGAGATGCTTCAATACACACAACAGGGTCATCGGGAAGGGTCTGCCTCAAAGGGAGCTCGTAGAGCCAAGTGTCAGAGAGGGAGAGCGTTCAGGAATGGGGGGCAGCTTGTGGAATGAATGGCACAAGGTGGGAGAGAAAAGGTCCGGCAGAAGGTCCTGTATGACAAGCCAGCCAGTTTGGCTGGAGGGGGAGAACTCTATCATCAGCCTGGGAAAAGAAGATGGAAGGAGATTGTGAAGGGCTTTAAATTCCAAATATTAACCTAAATGCAGGGGACCTGATCCCTGTGCTTACGGGACCTCATTTGGGACCCTGGGTGCCTTTCCTCACTTCCCTTGGGAGGGGGGAGGGGGGAGGGGGAAAGGCAGGCTCCGAATCAGAAGGCTGGCCACTGTGACAAGACCATCCCACTCATTGGATTCTTTTTCAAAAGTTTTATTTTTAATTATGAACTCTTATCACATCTTTTGTTTTTACATCCTTTCCATTTATAGATGTATTAGAGACTGAATGGGCCTATAGAGATCATTCCAGGGAGCACATACCATTGCTCCCCCAGAAAATTCTAGGGAATCCAAGACCACGGTGGTTCGTTGTTGGGCCTCAGGGGTGCAACAAGCTTCCTGGCTACTTCTTGCCATGTGACAAGCAGTACACTCTGTCTAGGGACCTTCCTGAAGGGGGTGCAGGGGTGCTCTTGCTTTTTCCCAACACCCTCACCACTCTCCCCTAAGGTGAGTGGATTCAACTTGTCCAGCTTACACTTGGGCTCAAGCTTTCTTTTCTACTTGGTCCTTCCCTTCCCGGCTCATTCTCATGGTGGATTTATCCAGGTGTGGAGCCAATCTTGGGAGTTTAAAAGGCCCTTTGGTCCTGGGTCCATTGAAAAGAATGGTTATTTGTGGCAGGTCCAGGAGACGATGACTATGGAATTACTGGAGTGCAAAGTTCAGAGAAGGCTCAGGTTTGGAGTGGAAGGATAATAGATCAGACAGACCTGAAAACTGTAAAATGCCTACAGCAATTCCCCAAGCTGCTTTATATTCTGTTGAGATTTAAGTATCAACCTCCCAGCAGGCTCTAACAGTGATTATAAATTAAATTAGACGAATCCTGTTTTATGTTTGTTTTTGTTAAATGCATGCTTGTGAGTGCCCTGGGATTAGCATTTCTTTTAAGCATAGGAGTGAAATAACTGTCCAAGGTAGGATTCTTGTCATACACCAAGTACCTTATTTACTTCCCTCTTTTGGGGGAAACTCTAGAATTGTCCCCAGAGAGGCTGAGATAGGGGACTTAATGAACCAAAGAGCTTGAGAAAGGAGGGTCCCTTCTCAGAGGCAGGGTCTTCCAGGATTGAATCTGGTCTAAACCACATACCTAGGTACAGGACAGGAAAAGGTTGAGGCTCCCCACTCACACATAGATCCAGCAGCAGCTCCCCAACCTTTGCCAAATATACCCTCTTCTCTCCCCTCCTCTCAGAGAGTTATCACTTGTAACAAGGAATAAAAAATAAAGTATGTGTGAGCATCAATAAATATTTATTAAGAGCTTTGTATGTGCAATGTATTAGACATTCAAGACAAAAGATGAAATGCCTAATGTTTTCGTGCTAACATCCTACTATGTGGAAGGTGGGAGATACATGTAGACACATATGGAAATACATATTATATAAAAATAGAGTGAGAGTACTTAAGTTGGGGGGAGGAAGAAGGAGAGGGGGAGAGGGAGAGAGTGTCATATGACTAGGAATATCAGGAAAGACAGCATTTAGGAGGTGATAGGGCAAGAGCGTTTATATAGCAACACAGATACATAAAAATGTATTTTATATATATATATATAGTACCTACTATGTGCCAGGCACTATGCTAAGTGCTTTACAAATATCTCATTTGATCCTCACCTTTATAGTTGAGGAAATTGAGGCAAAGACTTGCCCAGAGTCTCAGGATGGATTTGAACTCAGTTCTTTCTGACTCCAGGACCAATGCTCTATCCACTGCACCCCTTGGTGGACTCAGGTGCCACCTGAGCCATGCTTTGAAGGAAGCCTTTAGAGGGCAGCTAGATGGTGCAGTGTATAGAGCATCAGGCCTGGAGTCCAAATCTGACTGAATTCAAATCCAGCCTTAGACTACTAGCTGTGTGACTCTGGGCAAGTCACTTCACCCTGTTTGCCTCAGTTTCCTCATCTGTAAACCAAACTGGAGAAGGAAATGTCAAACCACTCCAGTATCTTTGCCAAGAAAACCCCAACTGAACAACAAAAACATATATATTAAATACTGATATTGTTTCATTGTTTATGAACACAATACAATTTATTTCTTTTTACCCTGTTTTTATTGTTACCTTGTATGAAAATGTGTTCCTTGTTTTACTTCATCTGAAGCAGAATAAAGATGTCCCAAAATTCAATACATTTTTAAGCTTAACAATTTCAAAAGCATAAATGCTACAAATGTGCAAAAATGGCATTTGAAGATTTAATTATAGAAATTTCTTTTACACTTATTTAATTTTGTTAATTTTGAATTTTAAAAATGTGGGGCACCCTGTCATCATGTGTTGAATGTACTGCAGTTTCTGGATGACCATTTCTCGGACCAGTGGATCAGTAGAGGAGGTCCTCTTGCTTGTTTGGCCATATTGATCTCTTGATCTATATCCATTAGACATTTCTGTGGGGTCACATAAAAACTGTCATTTATGCATCAAAACTTTGTTCTTTGAGTGACCTTAAGGCTAATATTATAAATAAAATACTTTCAGTCACTGAGCAGCAGTGGTTGAAAAGTTTTTACAAAGTTTGAAAATTGACCAGAGAGATGTATAGCGGTGGTATCAAACTCAGATAGAAACAGATCCCTGTCACAAATTGGCTTTAACTGTCAGAGAGCCCTTGAAGCTGACGGCAGTGCTGAGCCCTGGGAGCTGTCCCCAGTCCTGAAATAAGACTGCTGCGGATTTCGAGCAGGAGAGCCTGGGTCTTCTCTAGAATACCCCAGTAGGACAAGTATGACAGTAGATCACCTCTCCTATGTGCTCCTATTTGCTCTATATTATTTGCCACTGCCAAATCATCTCCTTCTCGTACTGGAGGGGAGGAATCAAAGCCACTGGTGATTTTAGAGCAGGAGTAAATGGGCATACTTAAGCATTTGTTCTATAAGGGTCCAGTCCTTTTGCTGACCATGGGTTTTTGAGCCCGGAAGGGACCTTGGAGATCATCTAGTTCAACCTCTTCATTTTGCAAATGAAGCTCAGAGAGATCACAGGATTCAGAGCTAGGAAGGAACTCAGAGATAAAATTTGCCCAGGATCTCACCAGAAGTGAGTAATAGTCAGGATTTGAACTCAGGTCCACTGAATCAAATTGCAGGGCCATTCCTACTACACCATCTGATCCTCTGGTGTGGAGGGCAACATAACTGTGTCCCTGATGGTGTGATCCTTGGTAAACCATTTGTCTTCTCAGTGGTTCAGCCAATTCTTGAAGACCCTAAATGGAAGAACAGTTGCTAATCTGCACTGGTAAAGGGCATTTCCTCACTGGGAGCTCACTACACTGATGAAATCACAGATCTAGAAATAAACCTCAAACTTCTAAGACATTTTAAACGTGCTTTTTGATTGCAAAACACCTTATTCGTATGAGTGCTAGGGTTGGAGTCAGGAGAGACCTGAGTTTGAATCCTACCTCTCACCTTTATTAGATGTATGACTATGTTCCCATTGTTACTTCACTCTCTAAGGCTCAGCTTCCTCATCTGTAAAATGGGAATAGCACCTACTTCAAAGTTGTTGTTAGGAAGGAGTGAAATAATATGCCAATCACTTTCAAACCTTTGATCTCTCTGGAAATGTTACCTATTATCATTATCGCTTTATTTTCTTGTCATAAAGGCCAGCATCATTACCCATATTTTCCATATGAGGAAACTG